ACCTGCTTCATAAAAAATCAGGTGACTCCCCAGGGGCCCAAATGGGGGGACTTCGTGCATTTTATAAGGCAATTACTAAAACAGGACAGCATGGTTTGTGTCCTTGGCGGGGCCTCTCCTCCAATTACTCTTCCATCTGTTATTTGGACTTTGTGTCTTGCATTGTGTGGCTTGACTCATGTATAGAGGCTGTAAGGCTACAGGGGGCCCTAACTGCTGAACCCTCACCTCAGACAATTGGACAGAAACATCCCATGTGCTCAGCTCCGGCTGAGGCCAAGCTTTCAAAGCTGAAGGCTTTGATATAATGAACAGGTTTTGATAAGGAGGTGACGCAAACACACATTTTACTCTTTACATCTGCATGTAATACAGTATGCTATGACAGAATGATAAAAACCTGTGCCTAAAACTACGGTTTCACAGGAGCAGGGTGAGCCACTGCTTCACTCAAGTAAGCCCAGTTTTGCTTTTAAAGACTCTACCCCTTGTCTGGAAAGCACAGACCCAAAGGCAAGACTGTCACAGCTATTGTGGTGGTTTGAAAGAAAATGGCCCCCCAAGGGAGAGGCACTATTCGGAGGTGTGGCCTTGTTAGAGCAGGTGTGGTCTTGTTGGAGGAAGATGCTCAAGACACGCCCAGTGAGACAGGTCACTTCCTGTTGCCTGTGAGTCAAGATGTAAGGACTCTCAGCTCCTTCTCTAGCACCATGTCTGCCTGCATGCTGCCATGCTTCCCATCATAGCCACCCCAATTAAATGTTTTCCTTTGTAAGAGTTGCTGTGGTCATGGTGTCTCTTCACAGCAATCAAACCCTAACTAAGACATCCTGCTGCAAACCCTGTTTCTGTTTGCTAAGAACAAATCCTTGTACCTGCCAAAAGTTTGTTATTTTCAAATGCCTGTATATTGGTGTCCACCAAATGTTTGCACATTGGAATTGCTACCTGAAAAGTATCTACCTACAAAACTGTTTGTTCTCACAGTTTCTGTTCCTACAGCTATACCTAACTAAACTCCCTTGAGTGACTAAGGGACTCAGAGGCCACTCCAAGATGATCACACAAACGAATATGGCATTGCCTGACCTCTGAAAGGCTGTGAGAAATTGTAGGGCCCGCTGGAACTTTCAAAGTATCATCTTGGTTTCAAGCCCACATATGATGTAGTTTCTCCTGCCTCTGAGTGCGTGGTTGAATTCTTGCCAGTTTGAATTTTTCCACAACACTGTCATGATACAACAACCTTTATCAGGGTGCTGCCACATTGGAATACAGTTCCGGTGCAAAACTGAATCTGATAGGTCAGGTCATATTTGGCTCCAGAATAAATCGTTTGCTTATTTCCTTTGATGTAAGAACTGTGTTTTTATACCTGTAGTCTTTGGCCACCAAATGTGAGGCCCCTAAAAGACAATCAGCTTCTCATTGTCAGAATCAGCTGGATTAGGACCGGGTGCCAGCATTGTCCTGCACATCATCCTGCACAACATCATCCTGCACTTCCTCATCACGCCCGGATGTTGCTGAGTTCTTTCTCAGATTTGCCCCGCCCCCTTCAGATTTGGTTTGTGCTATTTTGGTTTATTCTGACTATTTTGAAAGTCCTCTTCATTTGATTTGTTTATTGTTTGATTTTGAAGTGTTTGGTTTAAGGTATCAGTTTTGTTGGTTTGCCTTAGAATGTAGGTTTCTGACTGTTCAGTTGGGGTTGGTTGCTTTCATAACATTCAGTTTATTAATTTGCTAGGGTTCAGACTTTGTCTCTTGAAAATCCTGAAGCGTCTAAATCTATATTTGGCTTCTCTTGTTCGTTGCAACCCTTGAGGATGTTAATAAAGTGGATACTGATGCTAAAAAAGCCTGTCATGAGTTAGGAAACAGCCTGTGTGCTGTGATACCAATGTTATCCCCACAAATTAACTGGGCCAAAATACAGCCATGTAAGCTAAGGCCGGAGGAAACTACACCTAACTTCTATGTGAGATTTGCAAAAGCACTGAGTCATCATGTAGGAACTCCCACGCCCAGAATGTTGAGGGTCATGGATGTGATGTCTTGTTAAAGTATTCATTTCTGTAAGAGCTGGAAAAATATTTGGCTATGCTGGTCAAAAATAATCCAGCATGGGCCTCGCTTCTCATGATGCCCCCGTGACCTTAATGACCAACTTTTAAGACCTGTTGCTAGCACTACTTGTGAGGTCCAGTCCTCTTCTTCTTGATAGTGTCTCATGTAGCCCAGGCTGGCCTTGAACACCTGATGTGTAGTCCAGGGTGGCCTTGAACACCTGATGTGTAGTTAAGGCTGGCCTTGAACTTGACCTTCACTTCTACCTTCCCAGTGCTGGGATTACAGACATGTGCTACTATGCCCATCGGACATTTCTGGGGCTTTCATTTTGTGTATTTGTTGGAGGCAAAGTCTTTCTATGTAGCCCAGGCTTGCCAATTTTCCTGCCTCTGTCTCTCAAGTGCTGAAATCACAGGCACGAAATACCATTCCCAGCTCCCCACTGGACCTTTCTGAAAATGAAAATGTCTCTCAGGCAAAGTCAGGAACTTGGCCAAGTGTTACATCCACAGCCTTTAGGGCTGTAGGTGAGCTTGGACAGGGCTGCTGACCCCCACCCTTGCCCTAGTGGATGAGAGTTCCTGAAAGGAAGCTCCCTACAAAGGCTGATTAAAACTTCAATGACTGTGGCATCTTCAAGGTTGAGAGTCTAATTATAACTTCTCTCCAGCTATTTTAGCCTGGGATAGCCTCCTTGTCCACATGTGTGTAGACCTAAAGTCCTGGTGAGCAGGAATGCAGCATCTTAACGAAACCCTATCCTCCACCAACCGAAGGGCTAGGAATAATATCAGATAGCGTCTGTGGCCCACAGTTGAGATCCCCTTATACATTCTAAGTGCTCCGATTTATAACTTTCTTTGTTCTGTTACATTAAAATCTCCACAAAACCACTCCTACGTTGGAACATCATATTTGAGGGGAACCCAACTCTATGTTCTGAGTCCTGGTTACTCATATTTTAGCTCCAGAATAAACTCTTTTATACCCTTTGAGTTGAATGTTGTGGTTTTGTGTGGACTCCCTTACAGCTTTGGCTTCTTGAAAGAGAGAGCAAGAGGCAGACTGTTTGCTGGCGAATCAGCAGAGTGAGGTTGTTCCAGTCAAGAACTGGAATTGACTGATTCGTGAGGGAGTGTTTGGTTCAGAAACCATGTTCTCTTTCTATTTTTGTTTTTAAAACGGGGTGTGTGTGTGTGTGGTGTGTGTGTGTGTGTGTTTGTGGTGTGTGGTGTGTGTGTGGTGTGTGTATATGTGTGTGTGTATATGTGTGTGTGGTGTATGTGTATGTGTATGTGGTGTGTGTATATGTGTGTGTGTATGGTGTGTGTGTGTGGTGTGTGTGTATGGTGTGTGTGTGTGTGGTGTGTGTGTATGTGTATATGTGTGTGTGGTGTGTGTGGTATATGTGTGTGTGTGTATGTGTGTGTGGTGTGTGTTAGCTTTTTGTCAACTTGATGCTAACTAGAGTTGTCTGAGAAAAGAGAATCTTATTGAGAAAATGCCCCCATCACATTGGCCTGTGGACAACCTATTGGGCATTTTCTTGATTGACGTGGGAGGGTCTAGCTCACTGCGGGAGGTGCTGGTGTCTATGAAACAGCAAACCGAGCAAGCCGGCAGGCAGCATTCCTCCATGGTCGCGGCTTCAGTTCCTGCCCTCAGGTTCCTGCCCTGGCTTCCCCCAGTGACGGACAGTTAATCTGTAAGACAAACTCTTTGCTCTCCAAGTTGCTTTTGGTTGTGGCACAGCAGTAGAAAGCTAACTAATATGGGGGTGGTGGTGGTCAGGGTTTTGCTCATGCTAGACAAGGGTCCCACCACTGAGCTACATCCACAGCCCCGTCTCAAACAAATTCAAAGTTTTTTTCCTGTTTGGGGGCCCTTGATGGTTCTGCTCTATTGGTCAATCCAGCACAGATTGGGGGACATTTGTTACTGGTCTCTATTTATGGAGGTGGTCACACCTACTGGATGATATAGTTGGTTAAGAACTGAGGCCATCTATTAAGTGACTATTTATGTGCTGGCCCTGGGTAGCAAGGGTGGGGGTCAGCAGCCCTGTCCAAGCTCACCTACAGCCCTAAAGGCTGTGGATGTAACACTTGGCCAAGTTCCTGACTTTGCCTGAGAGACATTTTCATTTTCAGAAAGGTCCAGTGGGGAGCTGGGAATGGTATTTCGTGCCTGTGATTTCAGCACTTGAGAGACAGAGGCAGGAAAATTGGCAAGCCTGGGCTACATAGAAAGACTTTGCCTCCAACAAATACACAAAATGAAAGCCCCAGAAATGTCCGATGGGCATAGTAACACATGTCTGTAATCCCAGCACTGGGAAGGTTTTTACATTTTATCTTTAATCACTATGCCTTTTCAACCCCACAGACAGGTCACATGGAGAGGTCACAGGCTAGTCAATGTCAGAGGGGACAAAGCCCAGGGCTTTTCTGTTTTTGGAGGCATCCCAAATAGAGCTACCGAATAAGATCAGGAGCTCAGCCTCAACACGTGCTTGCTGTTGGGACAGGGACAAAGTGGAACCTCACTCATGCACAGTTTAACAACTACACGGATGTGGTCTCATTAATTCCCCCATGGCTCAGATCTTCAGTCTCCCCAAATCCCATATGCTAAACAATGAGATCTGAGGACAGTGGTGGCCAGCTTGTGGTACCGTTGGGAGGTGGCACAATCTTTAAGAAGTAGAGCCTAGGAGGAGTAGGTGAGATCATTGGAAGAGTGCCCTTAAGGAGGGATCCTAGGACCCCGACCTTTCCCATACCTTTTCTTTTCCTGGCTACCATGAGATGAACAGTGTCGAGCTTGCATTCCCGAGATGTAATGTGCCAGTACAGCCCCAAAACAAAGGGGTGAAGGGACCATGAACAGCAGCCTCTGAAGCTATGACACCACATTAAAAAAACACCTTTCTGCCCTTTGAACTGTTTACGTCATGTATTTTGTTACAGCAGCGGAAAGCTAGGAAACACAAATAATATACAAATATAGACTATTTACAGAACACCAGCAATATACAAAACATACAGGTAGGAAAGGAAATCTCTCTGATTCTTGAGAATCCAAAACAGCCATGTCTGCCCAGCATGGGGCCGACCACTTTTGAGATGAGGGCGGTCTACAGACGTCCTTAGGACTTGATAGAGTTTCCACTTCCGTCCCTTATTTCTGTTTCTCATAGTTTCAATGTGGTCCCACTTTAGTGAGCACCAAGGGCTCAAATTACATTCAGTGGTCATTAAAAAATAATCATTAAAGTCTCTCTCTCTTTTATAGACAGGGTCTCGGTCCAGCTTGGCCTTGAAGTCCTGCTTCTCCTCCTCCACCTCCCAAGGGTTGTGCTTATAGGCAGACACTGCCGTTCCTGGCTTGTATGGTGTTGGGGATTGAAGCTAGGACTTCACGTGTGTTGGGTAAACATTATATCAGCTGAGCTACACTCTCAGCCCCTAAACTATTGAACTCTTTATAAAGCCGTAAACTCCAAACACATGGAGTGTTTTTTTGTCACTGGACCTTTTAAAACCTGGCTCTTTGGTAGTCTGTACAAGTCCAGCATCAGAAAGTTCTCGAGTTGGAGTTTTCTCAACTGGCCCTTCTGATCACAGTTCCGAGGCAGATGTGAGAAGTAAGGGGTCACAATGTGCCGGTGAGGGGGTTTCATCCTTGGACCCCAGCTCTTGAGGTTCCGGCTCGCACGGGGTCCCCAGGGCACAGCTGTCGCTGAGATTCTGCTTGCTGCCGCTAGACTCTTGGGTGACGATGCTCAGTTTGTCGAACACCTCGGTCTTGTCCGAGACGGGCAAGGAGAGCAGCAGAAAGGTGCTGGGGTGGGGGTGGCCCAGAAACTGCAGAAAAGTTAAAGCCATTACTTAAGAACCAAATCCTCCCACCCCACCCCCACTCTTAAAGGCCGTTACCTAAGAATCAAATCACCCCGACCCCACCCCGTTCTGCTTCCTTTTTTCTGGGCTGACAAGGGTTTTATGCAAAACTTTAGGGCTAGAAAGATGCACCTTTAAAATGCGACAGTAATACGGTGGTGGTTCCTTGAAACAAAAATGATCACACGACCTAGCAATTCTACTCACGGGTATGTTCTCAAGGGAAATGAAAGCTGAGGAGACCCATTTAACGGCGGACAGTTACCCAACAGCAGAACAAAGGCAAGCGTCCCCCAGGGATGAGCACACAGATGCTGCGCTGGCCCTTCAGTGGACCATCGTTCTGTTTTTAGAAAGAGGAGCTTCTGGGCCCTGAGATGGCTCAGCAGGAAAAGGGGCTTCCCACGCACACCCGTGGCCTGAGTGTGATTTCCCCCACTCCACGGCGGGAAAAGAGAACCAGCTCCCGAAAGTTGTCCTCTAGCCTACGCTAGATGCGGCTCAGTTAGCAGAGTGACTGCCCAGCACAGCAGACAACTGGACGTGGTGGTGCACATCCATGACCCCAGCACTTGGGAGGTGGGCGCAGGGGGATCAGAGGTTCAAAGTCATTCCTGGCTGCATCGTGAGTTTGAGGTCAGCCTGGGCTACATGAGACCCTGTCTTTAAAAAAAAAAAAAAAGGAAGACAGGCAGCTAACGAGTCTGTGTGATTGCACTTATGTGAGGGATCTAGAGAGACAGAGGTCAGCATGGTGTCTGTCGGGAAGGAACACCAGGGCGTGTTTAGGAGGATGAGTTTCTGCCACGCATGCGCAAAGGGCTCTGGGGGGAGTGCTTGGTGGCGATGGTGGCTTCACGCCACGGAGCTCCATCCTGAGATGGGATTAAGGTGGGGACGCTGCGTGTGTTTTAGCACAGTTAAGAGGCGGGACGAGAACTGGTAGCGTATCCACAGGATGCTCACCTGTCACCCTCTAACAGTTCTTCCTGGAAAACAAGGTGGCCTCTGAGCCTGATCCCGAGGCTGTGAGCAAGCGGGGCGTTGGGGGTGAGACCAGGGAGCAGAAGGTATACAGGCCACGGATAAATGTGTCATGGATGGGCACACGGTGCATCTCGTGTGTCCTGGGCCAAGTTCACCAGGGTCCTCGGTGCCACTCCATTTTGACCTTTAACCCGGTAATGTCCAGTACAGTAGCCGAGAACCCCAGGTAGCTACTAGTCACTTGACAGGTGCCCGGTTTGAACTGAGGTGTGTGAGTGTGAAACAGACATGAGATGCTGAAGATTTCATATAAAAAAAGTAAAATATTTTAATAACTTAAAAACGTATTGGATGAATTGAAATGATATTATTTTAGATTTCTCATGTGTCATAAAATACTGCAGTATGGAAACAGCTGCGGATTCCGAAATGCCTCATGGGAGGCCTCCATCCAGCTTCCCCGGTTCCGTCTCCCTGAACTTGAACACGCCAGGTTAACATGGACTGTGTGCATCCTGAGGTGAACTAGAGAGCGGTGATGTGGGGGATGTTAGTTCTCCGCAGTTTCCTTTGCCTTCACTGTCTAGCTCTTCTCCACACCCCCACTTCCCTCACAGCTACTGTGAGGCCTGCTCGCCTTGGAGGACCAGTCGACTGGTCCCTGGAATGCACTTGCTCAGCTTTGATCCACCCATCTCTTTTTTTCCCGTCTGACCAGTGTGTTTGTGATGGCGAAGCCAGGCAGTAACAATACCAGGGGGAGATTAGCTCCTTCCTGGTTCTCAGGTAATGAAACATCTTCCACCCAGAGCCAAGGTCTGCCCTTCTTTGCTCTTCACAGAAATTCTCAACTGTGGTGCTGCGGGACTTGCCCACACTGCTTTTAGAAAATTCTCTCTGCTGGGAAACTCTATGGTCCCAGGTCTTGCTTCCTAGACGTGGTGGGTGCTGTCCTGCGGTGCCCACAGCCCCTTCATCGTGTCCCCGGTGTCTAGGAATTCTGGCATCTGGAATTGCTCATAGCTGGGTCCCTTTCTGGGAGCAACACTCATTGCATAAGCCCTGTGTCCTCCTCGGCACTCATTCACATCAATTTTTGGTGTGTGAACAAGGGCTATCACAGTACATTAAGGGACCGGTAGTACACGTGGCATCATTAAAGCTGGGATGAGTAGGGGATCTTCTTAGGAAGAACTGGAGACCTGGTACATCAGACAAGTTTGAGGGTCCCCACAGAAAATGTATACCAAAGAAGGGGAATGACAGCCCGTCCATCCCATACCGAAGGAAGCACTCCTGGGTGCTTGGACAGCGGATTCCACAGTGGGAATATGGCACGCCACGTTCCAGAGGCAGAGGCTGCTGGCACCAGGAGGAACATAGAACAGAAAAGGGCCCTGCAGTATGTATGAGCTGTGGAGCAGGCAGCCTTCCTCAGGCCTTCAGACTGGCATGTGACTCAGTGACTACATGCTAACTGAGCCTGACACGTGAGACCCGGCGGATCTGTAAAGTGTGTGATGGAAAAAACTGGGAGAACTTCACAGTCAATTGCTGTGGGATGGCCTTTCAGTATGTGGTGAATATGTGTTGCTACCATTAGTTAATGAAGAAGCTGCTCTGGCCTATGGCAAGACAGGTTATAGTCAGGCAGGAAGTCCAAGCAAGATACAGGGAGAAGAAAGGCAGGGTCAGGGGAGACAATGAGAGCTTCCGGGGAGGTGGGTGGTATGTGGGAGGGTGGAGTGGGTGGGGGGTGAGAGGGTGGAGTGGGTGGGGCATGGGGGGTGCAAGATGTAATGGAACACAGGTAAAGCCATGAGACATGTGTCAATACATAGATTGGGCAGTCTCGACCTTAGAGAAGTGTCCCTCATTCCATCCCACCTACCTCCTTCAGGTGCTGTGGAATAGATGTCCTACAGCGGAAGGTGTACTTGGCCTTCTTGTAAATGAACCACAGCAAGCCAAAGCAGCCGAGGAGGAGGAGGAAGACCACAAAGACGGAGGTCACCAGGAGGATGGCCACTATCCAGGAAGGGGTCGTTTCTGTTGGGGACAGAGGAGCTGGTTAGACTCTTGGCACATGGACAGGTTGAGTCACAGGGGTTACACACCCATTCCAAGCCTTGTGATCCAAAACATTCCCTCAAAACAGGCCCATCTGGCTGGGTGGTGGTGGCATACCTTTAATCCCAGCATTCGGGAGTCAGAGGCAGGTGGATCTCTAAGTTCGAGGCCACTCTGGTCTACAGAGCAAGTTCCAGAACAGCCAAGATTACACAGAGAAACCCTGTCTTGAAAAACCAGAAAAACAAAACAAACAAACACAAAAAACAGGCCCATCTGGTCATAATGGCCCAGAAACACAGCAGTTGGCTGGAAGTTCTTGGTGTTTTCTGTGAGTTTCACCTCTTTCCTGAGCCCTCTTCACAGTGAGGTTTCTGGTATGATCGACGGCACACAGAACAATAAGCAAGGATCCTGGTCTACTTTCCTGTTTGTAGAGAGGCTAGGAGCCCACCTGCTCTGGGTATTCTGCTCTGACTCCCACACAGGGCCTGAGGGAGGCAGAGGCCCCGTGCTTGGAATTGAGAGGAGGAAACAGCTCTACACAGAGGAACACACACAAACCCGAGTGACCACACTGACGCCTTGTCCCTGGGGCCATCCATTCTCCCCGGAGTTCCAGACCAGAGCCGACACATCATGTGCGTGTTATTGTCAGCACGTGACCACATGCCTCTGATTATTTGCAGTGAGCTTTTCTAGAAAGGCCTTCCTACCTGAGACCTTCTCTGCCTATCTGGAACATACTCATGGTGCTACGACCCAGCAGCGTCTCCCTCAATGGCTGATAACCACTTCCGTGACGCCAACAGGAAGGATGTCTCTACAAGATCAGCAGGGTTTTGATAAATGCCAGTTGGCAGACCCAGACAGCGAATGGCAATGGCACTGAACTCAGTCGTTCAGTCATTTTTTTACTCCTCTGCTTGTCTGGCTCCCTCTCCCTCTCCTTTCTCCCTTTCGGACACTTCTCTGTACAGGTGAAGCTCAGCTCCTTCCCCTATTGTGGTTAGTAGTAACTGAATAAAATTTAGCATTTCTGCTTCAACCAATCCTGCCTGGTTTATGTGTCAGCAGCATCCAGGAGGTCACCCCGGTCGGCTGTGGTCCCGGCTTCCACCACTCACACCAGTCCCTTCTCCAGCTGACCTGGCTAATTGGCTTCCCCCTACCAGCACCATCTTCATGAACAAGGACATGTGCATCTGGTAGCTAGTGGGCTGAGAGAACAAACCCCGCCTGGTAAGAGCAAGTCACTTGAAAGGGACTGTCTATGTGGAGAATGCCAACTGCCACTTAGACACAGAAGACCAGAGAACTCTGGCCAGTATGGTGGTCCCGGTATTCCATTGACTCGAGGCATCTGCTGGTGTTTGAGTAAACTGCTCTTGAAATGTCCATGGGTAAATGGATGGATGGATGGATGGATGGATGGATGGATGGATGGATGGATGGAGGGAGGGACAGATGGACAGACAGACCGATGGGTGGATGGGGAATTTGTATGGGTGAGAGGCTGGGAGGAAACTGTCACATCTTCTGCCCCCCTCCCCCGCTCCCTTGACCCCTTGTTTTTTGCGTTTCCACACACACCAACCCCCTGACTGTCCCGTCCCACCTTACACCTTGCCAGACTGGAAGGACTATATCCCAGTGCCAGGGTCTTGTTCACACTGCACAGCCCCTTTCCTGCTTGATCTTGTCCTGATAAAGGGAGGGTCCAGAGGGCTGGCTGGAGTGGCCCCTCGGAGGACTCGGACAGTGTGAGGTCATCCCACCTCAGACACTTTCCTGAGAGAGTTTCAGGTTCTACTTACTCATCCATGCAGGCTTCCACCCCGGCGTGGCAGGGCGAGTCAGTGCTGCCAAGCTCTCTCAGGTGGGGTGGTGGATGTTAACAGCTGGGTCCCTGGTATTTTAGATAAGGACACACCTGGCTGATGGTGACATGTATGCTATTTCTCAGGAAGAGGGCAGAGGTTGAGGGTGGGAGGGGGGGTGCTATCTAAAGGGTGTGAATTGCAGGGCAACTTACCTAGGTGCACTCTCGGCCAGGCGGTTCTTCCCCTGGCTGCAAATCTATTTGACTATACTATTGGCAGACCACGTTTCTTGGTTTTATTTTAAGGGTCAGGGTGCCTCAGTCTACCTTTGGAATTAGTCTGTAGGCAGTGGGTTAAAGAGAATGCAGGGCCTGTGCTCAGCTCTGTCTTTGTCCTTCACTAGCTGAGTGACTTTGGGTAACAGAAGGAACCTGGGAGCCTCCTTTTCTAAGATGCTCACACTGAAAACCTTCTATAGCATTTAAATGAAATTAAAAAAAAAAAAACAAAACTCTGTAAAATGGATATTTGCCAAACAGGTTTCCTATTTCTCTTTAAAAAATGTTTGGATCCTGTCAGGAGACAAAGTCTTATTCTGTGGCCTAGGTTGGCCTGCAACTCACTACATAGTCCAACCAGACCTCATGGTGACACTTATGTCTCAGCTTCTTAAGTATTGGAATTACAGGCTTGGGCCACCACACCAGACAAGTCTTTGGCTGCTACAGATGCTGGGCCTTATATTCTCACCTGGTGGTAGTCACAATGTATCTGTGTGTAGGCAGTGCCTGCCCCGGGATAAGCAGCACATCGTTCTCTTCCCCAACTTCCTCTCTCTGTCTGTTTAGTTTCAGCCCTCTCCTCTCCTCTCCTCTTCCCTCCCCTCCTCTCCTCTCCTCTTCTCTCCCCACCCCTACCCAGCACATATGTGTGTGTGTTTGTGCTGGGGTAGAATCCAGGACCACAGATGCTAGATTAGACCTTTATCACTGAACGCCCCCCCATTGCTCTGTTAATAAACAGTGTGGAGAGCACCCTGCTAGATGCCACTATACCCTGGCTCCATATTTTACAGGGGGCCTCAAAACATAATGGCACTAGCTGAGACACTGGTATGTGTTCCAAGTTCCCCTTCCCGGTCATTATATGTCCCCAAAGCCAGAGATGCAGGAAAGGCAAGGCAAGGTGTGGCAGGGCTCAGTCTCCGCCGGGTGGTTGTATGAGGACCACAGAGAGCAGAAAGGGCCACAGAGCATAGTAAAGGTGGATTCATTGAGGCAGACCTCAGCCCACCGGCCTGGCGAGAGACAGCCAGGTTCCTCATAATGGGGCATCTCGTTTACAGCATGAAGCAGAGGCACCAGGGTCTGGGGACCAGGCAGATGATGGGGAGGCTGATCTCTGACCTGTGGGAGAGTGTGAGCCGACTGCCGTGGTGTCTAGGACCTATGGGTGGGGTCCACGTAGCCCCGAGGAGGCAGTTCCAGGCTGTGCATGTGTCCACTCACCATCATTGGTTGTCTGCTCACAGACAGGTTCGCTCCATTCTCCAGTTCTGTTCTGATCAGGAAGAAATACTTGAACTTGAATGCAGTAAGTTGTCCATGGCTCCAGGTTTCTGATGACCTCGGAGTCATATGGAGAAGTGACTTGAAACTATAAGGGAGACACACAGCAGTGAAGGGACACCATCTCTCTTTCATTTCCCTTTCTCTCGCGCGATAAACTGAGCCCCCGCCGGAACTCCTTCCAGCTCCTGACATGTTGCATCCTAAAGAACGTGACAAGACTAACTGCGAGGCCGCAAACCATCCCATTGCCTCAATTCTGTAGCTTATGTGGCATCTCAACCATCACACTTCCCTTAAAAAAATACTGCAGCCCATTAAGGCAACCAGGTTTCTTTCCTCATGGGGGCCCAGTGTGTGACACCAACAAACGGCAGTCTCCTTGGGAGTGTGGCAACCTGTGGCTTGTATAGAATGCTCAAAGGGACCTTGGAGAATTTCCTGGTAGATTCACACCCTTGCTATCATGCTATCTCTACTCTGGGCTCCAGACAGGTATGAGGTGCCTTTGGGATGCCCCCATGCACACTGGCCAGGATTTTCACACACACACACACACACACAAATGAAAAAAAAATTAAATTAAATCTTTAAAAAACTTTTTAAAGTTATGGTCTTCAGGAGGTGGTTGGCAGGAGCCCCTGTGAATACCATTCACGATCTTACAAAAGAGGTACCAGGGAGATGTTCACGCCTCTGTCCTCCATCTTAGTCATCAAAGAATGCAGCATCAAGCATTCCCTTGGGAACAAAGTGAGCTAGTCTGTGTCAAAGTGAACAAGGTCAGCCACTGTGTCTTGACCTTGGACTCCTCTGCCTCTAGAACTATCATTCATAAACTACCCACTTTATTATAGCAGCAGGAAACAGACCACAACACAGCTCCATTCAGCAGGAACAGACTACAGCACAGGTCTAGTCCGTGGAAGATATTTTGGGTGAAAAAATTAACTTGAGATTTATGTTTGGCTTGTGTGTGTGTGTGTGTGTGTGTGTGTGTGTGTGTGTGTGTGTGTGTGTTTAATTATATCAACGTTTAATGTAATTAATTTGTACAGCACATATGTCTGTTTAGGACCGCAAATAGTATTTAGCTCAGAAGCACCGAGTTTGACCAACAATGAAGAAATGTGTCGACATGAAGAGAAGAGAGCCTCCTACTGTGGCAGACAATGGCAAAAGTCGGGCTTTTGTCAGCAAATCCCACGACAGTTCTAGGAATAGGGCTTTTCTTCTGCTTTGTGAGTGAAGTGGGTTGCCGTGTCCATTCTTAGAACTGGGAAAGCTGAGGTCATGAGTGTGACCAGAGCAACATGGTGACAGAGGCAATGTTCCAACCAGACTTCTGAGGCTTCAACCTTTATTTGGAAAGAACTGTCACTTGAGCTGGTGAAATGACTCAGCCTGTGAAGGCCTGATGACTTGATCTCCAGGACTCTGGCATGCCCTTCAGCATGAAGAAATACATACACTAATAACACTAATATTTCTTTTAAAAGAATGCTCCCTAAAGAAGACAGCAGTGGGGAAACACTGGATAGGAAGGGTTAAAAGTGACACTCTTCTTAAAGGCGTTGGGAGGTGTGAGGTGTTCTAACCATGAAGTGACTGGTTTGTGGTATGTGGGGGGTTAGGGGGTGGGAAGCTGGTCATTTGGTTGATCACATGGTAGCTGACTCCAACTTCCCCCAGGCAAACGCTGACTATGCCCTGTTTCTCCTGCAACTTCCTCTTAAGGGAAGGGAAGGGAAGTCTGCTGTGTGGACGTCATCAAGTCTGCCCCATGTGTGCTCCTTGACAGACAGAGTCCAGAAGCTTGGAGCTTGTCGAGGACCAGGCATTAGACTCTTTGGACACTACTAGGTGCTGCCACTTTGCAAGACTCTACCTGGTCACGTGTCTGTGTGCATGCATAGATGTGTGCACACACCAGTATGTGTGTGTGTATGGAAGCCAGAGGTTGGCATCAGGCATCTTCCTCTGTCACTGCCCACCTTATTTTTGAGACAGGATCTCTCCCTAAATCTGGAGCTCAGCGATGGACTAAAGCAGCACGCCAGTGAGTCCCCAGGATTTTCCTGTCTGCGTCTCTCAACACGGTGATTACAGCTGTGCATCGTCATGCCTGGCTTTTCACTTGGGCGTTGGGGAATCCAAATTCTGGTGCTCATGTCTGCACAGCAAGCATGTTACCCACTGAGCCGTCACCCCAGCCCCCGATGGCCTTTCCTCTCCATTGTCACGGCCTACCGAACTGAGCGGAATGTGGATCCCTACATCTGGAAGGCACGTGACAGCCAAACTTACCTTCTCATTAGTCCCGTTTTTCCAATATTGAACCCTATAAGCCCATGAGCTATAAAGGTTGTTCATGGTCCATGTCTCAGGTTCATTTTCAATTTTGGGGGCCGAGAAACGCATATGCAAAGAATCAGCAAGAGATTCTATCTGCATCTCAGGAGGTCCGATAATGGCTAAATGTAAGAACACAATAAAATGACAATTAAAAATAATCACATTTTAAACATGTCACTTGAACATGAATTCTTCATATATACGTGCAACAATCTATTAGAGGATAACACCGATTCCTTACAGACCACTGTTACAACACTGAATGATGTTGCTTAAGGAAGGTGGATGGATTTTTTTTTTGCCTAAAAAGATCCGATAACCTTTGTCTTTATTAATCCAATTTAACCATTTATGTTCACAGTGATACCTAATATATTTAGGATTTTTCAACTATATTGTTTGTATTGTTTGTAAAACCTGCTTGGGGGTGGGGTGTGCCCCTGTACATAGCTCCCATTAGCTCAAACGTGTGCTCATTCTGCCTAAGCCCCGGCGGTTCTGTTACAGGGCTTGTACCACCACACTTGACAAAAAGCCTATTTAAAAATTTTTACTTTTACTAGCTTCTTCTCTTTTTCATTGTTTTCTGCCTCCCACTGGCTTGCAGTTTCTTTTGTTTTCTGGTCTTAAGGCTACAAATGAGGTTTCTATTACCTGTAGAGATTACTCATAATATTTATCATCTATAACTATAATTATATATATATATATATATATTACAGCTTTTCTTTGATGTAGCCAGGCTCTTCACTCCATATGGATTGCCATCCAAACTTCTCTTCTCGGGGAGCCTGAATATTGCGGCCCTATGGACAAGCGTGGCATCCCTCTCTTCCTGAGGCTTTCCACTTTGAGGGCCATAGTCACTCTGGGTCACGAAATATCTACACACCAGTCTTCCTATCGTCTGTCATACTCCACGAGGGCAAAGCTTTGTCCTTGTCTGTCACTGTAGCTTTAATGCTGAGAGCACGCCTAGCACACAGTAGGTGCTCACAAACAACCACAGAAGGAATACCAGGAGACTCCGGGAGAGCACTGAGTCATGTCCCATGCTCCTCTCTCTGACCACTTTTTTTGGGGGGGGCTCTGCTAATAAGCCAGGGGGGCCTGTGTCAGCATCTCCGCTCTCTCACTTTTACATGCCTGACCTCGGGTCACGCTCCTTGACCTGTGTCTACGGGGAACTGGCCTCGAGGGGACTTAGTGTAGGATTTAGAACCAGCCAGTCCCAACTAAAAATCATCGGCGCAGAAGCCTGTATATCAAATGGTCCCTGGTGTACAATGGCTTGGCTTATGGTTTGAAAGGGACTGATATAAAAAAGAGGTGGTACTCCAACCTCCGAATTGTAGCAGCCCTCAAGCTAAGGACCTGTGGCTCCATTTTCTTTACAATGCAGGCGGAGGGCTGTGAGCCACCACCTCCCTGTCGGTCCTGGGATCCGGAGGGAGAAGCAGCAACCCTCCACTGCGGGCCGCGCTGCCCAGCTAGGGTGTAGTAGGTGAGGCCTGTCAAATGCATGTTTGATTTATGACGTCTTCAGCTTATGATGGGTTGGCAGGAACCTAACATCAGTGAAGAGAGTTTAATTTTGGGGCCTGGCGACCAATGGACTGTATTCTTTAATGTTCGTCTCCTTTCTTTGTTTTTAGAAAGGAACACTTAGAAAAGAAAATGAACTCTGAGCATTTCCGGCTGCAGAAATATGAGTTGTGTGCTTGTCCTTGGATAGAACTGGAATAGACTTCAGTCTCTTCCTGTCTGAGGGAGGATCTAACTGTGGAAGCTGTGGAGCCCACTTGTAAGGACCTGCTTACGGACAACCCCACAGACAGGGTTCCTCCCTCTGATGAGCCTGTGAGGGCCTCATGTGAGCTTTGTTCCTGACACTCTTGTGACCTCTGTCTGCTCTATTCTCCTAGCTGCTGTCTGGTGATTTAATTCATTTTCAGTTCCCGATACTCTAAACATGTTTGTCCCCACAGCCCTCCACTTCTAACGGGGCATATTCTTTCTGAGGCTTAGCAGCCAGCCTCCGCCATCTTGCACCCTTCTCCAGGCAAGAGCGCTCTCTGAGCTGGGCCCTTCTCACTCCACAGCTACCTCTATCCTCTTGTCTTTTGCCACACTTTAAAAATGATTTTTTATTTAATTTTAATTTTATGTGTGCACTGTTTAGCCTGTAGGTATCCTCTGTGGACCAGGTGCCCAGGAGGCCAGGACTGCTGTTGGATCCCATGGGACTAGAATTTCACTCTGTTCTGAGCTGACGTGTGGGTGCTGGGAACTGAACCTGAGCTCTCTGAAAGAGCGGCCAGTGCTCTTAGCCACTGAGTCACCTCTCCAGGCCCATAGTTCTTAGTTTAACTCATAACTCCACACTGACTTCCATCCGGAAAACTGTCACAGCTTCCTATTTCCTCTCAATAGCAGGCCTGGCCCTTACTCCTTCTCATCTGTGAGGTAGTGAAGCCAACAAGTTTATATTCATTTATTTTATTGGTGACATGTATACTTTTTCCTGCTTCACCTATGAATTTCTTTGAGGGCACAGCTTCTGTGCTGTGTTAATTTTCCTGGGCCCAGGCCATTCGTCTGCAGGCATGCTAACAGTTCCTACTGACAGATCACCGATGTGGACAAAAGCCAGGCAAGATGGTTGCATACAACAAAGTGAAAAACAAATGGCTTACTGTCTTCCACAGGGCAGAAGGTGACGCTCACCCACTCCGAATGTTCGTCTGCGAACTCAGCCCTGACTCTCACGGTGTGGTCGCCGTACTTGGAAAGATTTGAGAAGTCACACTGGGTAGACGCAGTGTTCTTGCAGTGATCTTGGAAATACAAGTAACTATAGAACCAGAGAGAGAGAAGCAGGAGAGTTTAGTCTCTGGGCTGACGGTTGTGTTATTCCCTGTGATACCGAAGTCAAATGTAGGACGATGAGGACAAAAGAAGTCATTCGTCTTTGGTTTTGTTTTTAGAGACTCTCCTTCTGTTGCCCAGGCTGACCTCTCTAACTTACAATCCTCCTGCCTCAACACCCCAAATGCCAGGGTTTCAGGCGTGCACCACCATGCCTGGAAAATTCTTAATCACTAACTTGGATAAATGGTATGCCCAAGGCAATTAATACTTTTCAAACTGTGTGTTTCCCGAGATCTCAACGATCCCTGAGAATCACAAGGCATTTAAACATAGTCCGATAGCCAAGACATTTGCGGGAAAATCGAGTTAAACAAAAATTGGCATCTTGGCAGGAGAGGTTTCAACTTCCCAATAAGCATTTATGGCTCCACTCCCCAGGTTGAGTATTCAACACACTTGACCGAGAAAGCTTCCTTCCTGGATTGTGCATTTCTGAAAGCATTGGGCTATGATTTGTGAGAGGCTGACACACGCAGGCTAACTAGGAAATAATAAGATAACTTCGAATAATGTCCCAAGGCTGACTCACACGGCGATGCTTCTGAAAAGATTATAAAACAACTCATCCATCCTCAGAACACAGCAACAATGGCAGCCACAGCGGGAGGGTGGCAGACATGGCAAGTGCCACTCAGCCTGAGGAGGGGTAATTCGCTGCCCCCCACCTAAGAAAATATGAGCTCCCTTCCTGGATGCGCCTAGCTGCCTGACTGGTTCCCACCACGCCTCCCGTCTAGGTGTGAGAGCCAACCTGGCCACTCTTATTGTCTGTTTTGATGTCTTTTCCTGTTGTTATGATAAGATATTCTGACAACATCAATTTAAAGCAGGAAGTTTATCTTAGCTCACAGATCCAGAATTCAGTCCATCACAGCAAGGCGGTCAAGGCATCTGGAGCCCAAAGCAAATGGTTAGAAGCGAGCAGAGAACACATGTGTGTGAGCGTTTGGCTCACTTTCATTTTTAGTTAGGTGTATGCGTGTGTGCATATACTCTTGGAGGCCAGAAAAGGACATTGAATCCCCTGGAGCTAGAGTGAGGTGCCTGGGAGCTACCCCACACAGGCAAGGGGGAACTGAACTCTGGTCCTCTGCAAGATCAGCAAGCGCCCTTCATATACTCAGTTCTGTTGATTTTAGGGTTCTAGGGACCACATCATGGCTCACTGTGTTATGATGGATGCCCAGAGCTTTGCAAAAAGTAGGTAGGGAGGACTGAGATCACAGTGTTCGGCAACCTGCCTTTCCCACTTAACATATTACAAACATTTTGCCAACCAACCAGCTCTTCATGGCTGGCAACCTTGCATTCTACTACTGGGAAGTCCAGGGGTCATTTCATTAAGGGGTTTTCTCTTACTCGGCTACTCCGTTCACTTAATACATCAGTTTAATACATCATGGCTGACACATGTATTTCAAAAGACATTTTGAAGCAACTCCTCTTTCCTGTTTTTCACTGATGAGTACTTTTGCTGGTAAATACGTAATATGATTAAATGCTGGTGGCTTTATTTATTTATTTTTTTTAAAAAGCAGTACCAGCATATACATATGCATGCTTTCTGTCACTCACCTGTGACACCCTCCTGGCACTGTTTTGTGACTCGGCCATCAAGGCCGTCAATAGCTAGATACCTGTGGCCCCGCCTCAGGTAATCATTACGGCAGCAACAACTGATAGAAGAAAGAAGTTCATTTTCCACAGTGAAATTGCTATGTCTTTCCAGACCAAGTGGAGAAAACATGGAGACAAAACGTCAACACCTGCCTCACTAGAGATGCTGCAGAACAACCTTTTGTCACCCACCGGACTCTGGACTATAGATAGCTGCATCGAGGTGTAAAAGAGCGCCCTGTTTTTATGCAACGCACACTGAAACGTACGTGCATGGTGGTGGCTTTTCACGGTCAGCCTGTTGTAAACACCCTCTGAGCCGGTCTACCAGAGCGTGTCCAGGAAGGTTTGACATAATCCTGGATGCCTGGATGTGAGCAGCACTTTCTTACGAACTGAGGCCTCAGACTGACTTTAAAAAAGGAGGGAGCGAGCCGAGAAGCAGCTTTCTCTCTGCTTCCTGACTGGATGCGCCGTGTATGACAGGCTCCCCACAGTGATGGGCTGTACCCTCAAACCAAGCCTCCCCCTAAAACCTTTCCTTCCTCACTTTGTCGCTTTGTCAGATGTTGTCATAGCAATGAGGGAAGAAATTAATGCAGTAAGGCAGAGAGGCCAGGGAGGAGAAAATAGAGTAAATATTAAAAATTGGTAAATCTCAATGTAGATGCCCTAGCTTTTATTACTATTCTTAAAATGTTGAAATGTTCGGTTTGTATGAAATTATTTCAAACTAAGAAAAAACATTAAATACCCAGCACGTAGGCAAGGATCACTTTATTCTACTTTCTATTCCTTTTTGAACTTTGTCACCCTTGAGAGAGAGAGAGAGAGAGAGAGAGAGAGAGAGAGTGTGTGTGTGTGTGTGTGTGTGTGTGTGTGTGTGTGTGTGTGTAAAATGACAGCTGCATGGAAAAGAGGGCAGGGTTACTGAGACCTGGAAGGGAATGCTCTCCTGTCTGGCTGAAGGGCCTGTCTGTCTTCCTACGTTTCTGAGTCACAGGTGTTGGCTGATAGGCCTTGGGCCTCCTGCAGCCAAATGGCTGACGCCTGCCATCCAGCCTACAGCCAATGATGACAGGCAGGCGGGGAAGGCTGGCCTGCACTTCCTTCACCAGGTGCAGGGACTTGCAGACAGGCAGGACAAGCAGAGGCCCCTGCAGTGGTGGAGGCTGATGCTAGAATGTTCTAGGAGGCCTGCCGAGGAGGGTAGGTGGCAGGGAGCGAGCGTCTTCCTGGCTGTTCGGCACACCTGGGCTGTTCAGGCAGCATCCGCTTGTACACTGATGACTTTTCACAACGCTGGCTGAGTAACTCGAAATGACAGCATTTGTTTTTCCTCTTCAGATACATCAGTGTGCGGACAGCCTGGGCTACACAGTGACGTCTATACTACCCTGGACTGCACGCAAGCAGAGCAAGGCCTGGAGACGGAGGGGCCTGGAGGGGGCTGTAGAGGGCGCTGACTGCAGTATTGTCCTTTAGGGAAAGGACAGGGCTACCAGGATGGTTCCCCAGGACTGTCACAGTCCCACAGGTGGACGTAGTTAGACTCTGTGCCGCCTGAGGCCCAGCCCAGGGTCACCATTCTCTGGTACCTTCCTGTAAACAGCCACCAGACCTACCTTTCGTACTGAGCTGTGAAAGTCAGATTCTCTTTGGGGAAAGCAGGTGACTCCCATTGTAGAATGTTCTTGAAATTAACCGAGTTCATCTTAACATTCTTAGGAGGTGGAATCATTCCTAGAGCTGAAAAAAAGGGGGGGAGGGTGGCAGAGACTGAAATGTTTTCCCCAAAAAGAAGACCAAGAAAATGACTACATCCAATATGGGTCCCCGGGATCCACATCTTCAAATGTTGTGTGTTGGGGGTGGGGGTATTAGCTACAATGAGGAGGCTAGGTTTTGTTTGAAGAAACAATGAGAAGAAATTTGGGGGTGGACAATAGTTGGGGACAGATGAAGGTGACTGGAATTTGAGCGGTAGAGATGGATATGGGGTCAGGGGGATTTCAGACCAATTTTAATAAATTCTACACTCCATAGAGACTTGATGGGGACCGGTCAAGGTTAAGGACCCCTTCTGGCAGAAGGCCCGGGAGCCCTGGTTGGAGCTTGGGGGGGGGGGGCGGTGCAGGGAACCCAGGATTCTCAAATCAGCTGCACCTGACTGGATCTTCCATGGAGACTCAAGAAGGGTTATCAGGGAGTGGGTCTGAGGTTGCAAAGAGGGCAGCCTTGGGCTATGGACAGAATTAATTTTTTTTAAGTGTTTACGTAGAAAATTCTAAACCACTTATCCTGGACCCAACAGAGACTAAGCATGGCAGTAATTATTCAACACCAGGCTGCCTGGGACTCTCTCAAAGTCCCGTGATAAGGACTGAGAGAGGAAAGGATCTCAAGCAGAACTAACTCATCTGAGAGGTGGGGAATCCCGTGAGCGCAGCACAGGGGGCACACGCTGCTGAGAGTCTCTGGAAGCTATTTGGGGAGCTGAGGAGCCCGACTCAGATTTCAGGGTGTGGACGTGTGAAGAGGAAGGCGTGGGGAAGGGGAGCCGGCCCTGCAGAGGAGGGGGCAGAGGAAGGGAGCTGCGGCTGGGGAGGCGTGTCCCCGAGGGTCGGGACGGCCACCGCGGGGTGCCCGGGTCTTTCAGAAAATCTGGCTTCTGTTAGAACTCCCGGGGTGAGGGGGGGGTCTGTCAGCAGCACCCCGCTTCAGTTTACCGTCTAGGCAACCCCGCCGCGGGCTGGGGGTGGGAGGGTGGTGGTCCGTCCACCCAGGATCCAGGCAGCGCGACGCCGCCTGTGAGCAGCCCACCGTGGCGACAGGTTCCCGGTCCGGTGCTCGCCTCCGCACACGGTCCCTTTCGGGGCACCCCCGGGACCGAGCCTTGGGGACGCCCCGCCTCCGAGTTCCCAGGCCGGGAAGCCTGCCCGCCCCGGGCCCCTGCCCGCCGCCGCCGAGCTCACCTGGCAGCAGCAGGAAGCCGCCCAGCCAGCCCGCCGCCACGCTCCGCGCCCTGGCCATGGCCCCGCGCCCGCCGCAGCCCCGCAGCCGCCGGCGCCCTTCCGGGAACCTCCGCCGGGCGGCAGGCCACTCCCCTCCGGCTCCCTCCGGCTCCCTCCGCCCGCGGGGACCGGGGCTGCGAGGGCGGCCAGTGCACTGAAAAGTCTGTCCTGGGTTACAGCGTCGTCCCCTTAACACCCCCGCCCCCGCCTTCATCCTGCTTCTCTCTTTCTCTCTCTGAGTTTCTTTCTCTTTTCCTAGCGGGGGGTGGATGTTGAGACAGTGTCTTTCTATGGAGCCCAGACTGGCCCGGAATTCGAAGTGATCCTCCTGCCTCCACTTCCCTGGCGCTGGGCAGTTCCTTTTCTTAGTATCGCTTAGTGTTCTCTGTTTTTTCCTCCACTGAAGCATTACTTCTGAAAAGTCCTGTTCCCCAAATAAAAGGTGAATCAGAGCACCCCTCAGCATAGTTTCGAAGGTTTTAGTGCCCCTCCCCACCCCCAAAGCTATGGCACAATGCCAGTTTGTTCACTTCGAGGTAACTTGTTTCTTGCTCAAGACTGCTGATAAAGCTTTAATTTCCTCTTCTTAAACAGACCAGGTGGTGAGGTGGGAAAATCCACAGTAGTCCGGCTGACTACATGTTGAGAAATGTCTAAAATAAAATAGGCCACGTGAGTGGGGGAGGCGGGGAAACCCAGCAGGCCACTGCAGATTTAGAGAAAGGAGGTAGGTACAGTCTTGAAATGCCAGCAGGACCACAAATATGCTAAAGAAATACATTCTAGTGAGAAACATTCTATTGAGAAATGACTCAAAAGACCACAGGCTTGTATGAAAAAGTATTTTTGTATTATCCTCTGACAACCTTCAAACATACAAAATTAAAAAAAATTGCAAGCGTTAAAAACTATTTTCTAGCAATTATGCAAAACTTAAAAGAAACAGTGAATGAGCCTGGATAGATGATCGATGAATTCGGAGGGCAGAGAGATGGCTTGTGTAGGGTCTCTTTCCTGTGGGGTTTTATTAGGTCTCTTCCTCAGAGGCCTTCTGAATTGCTCTGGAGGAGTTACATGAAGAACCCACCAGAAACCTCTGAGGCAGGACCCATGTAGCTTTCCCTTTCTGAATAGAAGAAAGGCGTGAGAAACTGGCTTTTGGGGAGAGGAGCAAGATGGGAGGGTCCTATACCCTTCATCCATCCCTGGTGCCTCTGGGGCTCAGCACCTCCACTTGGGTCTTGATCCCCCTTTCTAGCATTGGTCCCAGGCCTCTAGGGTGGTGCAGGTGACTCGACCCACTCCCTTTATTTCATAAACGAGGTAACGGAAGCTCAAAGAGGTGAGAAAATAACAGGGGGCTGGTGGAGTGCTCTCCTGGCAGGCGTGAAGCCCTGGGTCCAATCTTATGACAATGCACTCCTGTAATCACAGTGCTAGAGACGTGGAAGATCGAAGGGTCATCAAGTATCAATAAATAAAAACCGTACAAGAACCACAAAGTCACCCGTTAACCGTCAGATGTCTGGCTCCCCTTCCGTGACACCTGAGAACTTCCCTCTCCCAGACTCACAGCGAGTGTGATCCAAATCTGTACAAAGAGCGTTTTAAAAATTGTGAAGTGGGACTCGAAGGCTCGTATCCCCTGTTTATTCTGAAGACCTTGAAATGCTCGCTTTTGCTCTTTAAAAACAAAAACCAAAACCTCAAAATACGGTAGGCACTGAGATTTTGCACCTTCACCCTCCACCACGCCAGTGTCCTCTCTCTGAGTCGCCTGTCGGATCCTAGAATTACTCATATGGCTTCTCCCACCCCCACTTTACTGTGGAGAGTTTTATGGATGGGCGAGAATGACCGTCTCTGAGTGGAGGAAATGGGCCGTGGCACCTGATTTGTGCGTGCACCTCCTTCTTCCCCTGTATGGCATGCCCTTCCTCCCCATGTACGGCATGCCCTTCCTCTTCCCTTTTGCCTGCCTTCAGGCTCACTCCCTGAGCCCTGCTAAACACTGCTTGACCAGCTTTTCTGTCCTTTTCTTCAATTTAATCATTTCCTAGATATAACCAGAGGACGTGGCTGCCTCTGAAAGCCCCGCTGAACACTGTTCCCGGGGAAACATAACACCCTTAGTGCATTAGTGGAAAGGGGATGAGCAGCGCATGCTCATGACCCATGTAAACAAGATGGATTCCCCAAACTGGGGATCTGCAGAGAGAAGGCAAGAACCGTGAGGGCTCTACAGTTCCCTAGTCCGTCCCTCACAGACACCTGCAGGCCACCAGGGATCGATCGAGTCAGGCTGTGAAGAGAACCCTGTAGGTGCTCAGCTCGAGCTAATGAATTGCTTCTGGAATCATCTCATAATGTAGCCATCCCCTGTGTCAGCATCAGAGTCTGAGGTGTCCGTTTTTTCAGATGACTCGTCCTCAGTCCACAGGCTCTGGGAAGAGAAGCCGGGATGGGGCAGTTGTGTCCCGTCCCCACCGGCCATCAGGAGGCCTGACTCTGTCCTGTGGGGACCCTCGTCTAGGGGGACCATGTCTTCTGCAAGAGATAGCACCTCTGAGGCTTCTTCGGAGTCATCGTGGAGAGCTCTCAAAAACACAGAGTTTAAGTTTACATTGAAGATAACTTTGTCCTCCGGCCCATTCACGGAGCTGCTGTCATCCCCGGGGAAGGAGTCCTGGAGCATACTCTCTCTCCTCTCATAGGGGCCACTCGGGTCTTCTGAAGGCCTGAGGCCCGGCCACACTGCAGCCTCTGTGCAGAGCTCTGGCTCAGCCCCAGCCTCTGCTGCAGCTGCGTCAGATTCCTCAGCAGCGGAGTCTTCCTCCAGGTGGGACTCCTGGGGGTTGGCTGAGGAGTCAGAGGCCTGGTTCAGAAGCTTGCCCATCAGTCCGTGCATGGTGTAACCAGTGGCACTTGCTTTGGGGACTTCATCATCGCTGTCACTTTCGTCTCCATAATCGTAATTCCACACTTTCTTCTTTTTGTTCGTAGGAATGACCTCCACCTTGTCGACCGCCTCTGAGGGTGGCAGTTCAGGGAATATCCACGATAAAAAGTTATGGAAATTCTAGGGAGAGAAAGAGGGAGAGAGGGAGGGAGGATGGAAGGAGGGAGGGGGAGAGAGAGAAAGTCTTTCACTCGTATTAGCTCTTTGACATAAAACTTAGTATGCCCTGTGAGGCGATGTGGATGTGCTCACATTAATAACAGATGGTTGTGTGGCACTTGCCAGTTGCCGGGCACTGCTCCTGTATTTCCAAAGCCAAGGATGCTAAGGTCCTCCATATAAAATGTCACAGCATTTGCATGCCATCTCTGCACTCCCTCTGGTACACTTTCAATCGTTCTAGATTGTTTACAGAACTCAGTACAACACAAATGCTGTGTGAATAGAACACTTCATCACTTAGAAAACACCGCCAAGGAAGAGTTCATTTAGATGCATTTCGATGCCCTGTCTATGGCTGCATGAAGCCCGTGGACGCAAGCCATTTTCTAAGTCCCTTTGCCTTCCCAAGTGCTCTATGAAGCAGGCCTCTCTCTCTCTCTCTCTCTCTCTCTCTCTCTCTCTCTCTGTGTCTCTCTCTGTGTCTTTCTCTCTCTCTCTCTCTCTCTCTCTCTCTCTCTCTCTCTCTCTCTGTGTCTTTGTCTCTCTCTCTCTGTCTCTCTCTCTCTCTCTCTCTGTCTCTCTCTCTCTGTCTCTCTCTGTCTTTGTCTCTCTGTCTCTGTCTCTGTCTCTCTGTGAGTGTGTGCTGGCTGGGAATTGAATTCAGGGCCCTTTGCCTGCTAAGCATACTCCATGCCTCGGGATTCCACACCCAGGCTCTAGACTTATTATGCATTTAGCTGTGTGTGGCATGAGGTGGAGAGGGATCCCATATAATCCCTCTAGTACAGACAACCCCGTCACCAGCCACGGTTACCCCACCAGACTGTACAGCCACTGTTACACATCAGGCGTCTAATGCCTGGACCCGTGTTTCTGGGCTTCTCCTTTGACAGTTAACCTTTTCAGTAAGACTGGATCCTTTCCTATGTGATGGGCATGCATGTTATTAGATTTACTCCTTAAATTAAAAAAAGTAATTCGCTGCTTCTGTAATTGTATGGATTTTGGGGCTACTGAAAATCCATTCCTATAAATATGAAAACCAGGCAAATAACCTATGCCACTAGTAATCTGGACTAATCTTGTGAGCATTGGTGCTTTGGAAGGTGGCAAGAGAGAATTCTGGGAGAGCTGGCTCTGTGTGTGTGTGTGTGTATATGTATGTGTGTGTGTGTGTGTGTGTGTGTGTGTGTGTGTGTGTGTGTGTGTGTTTTCTTGATCTAGGCATAAATTACATGGTTGTTTGGGTTGGGGAAAATTCAGTGGGCTTTACACAGTGGTGTGTGCACTTAATTTCTTGGAGGCTGGAAACAGCTTCATTCTTATTCTCTGATTAAACACAGCCACTTTAAGTATACAGTGGCTTTGTCAAACCTTTTGGTTTTAGTCTCCCTGTCTAGCCTTGCTGGACCAGTACTCACAATGTAGGGCAGATTACTGACATACAAATTTAGCTTCAGAGTAATGTAAACTTTTGAGCTTAATAGTCTCATTTATAAATTATCACTGTCTGCCCTACACTTCAAACTAAGGCCCATGGGCGGGGCTTTTGTTTGCCTTGTTCCACACACGAACACTTGGAATACAACATCATTCAGTAGAGCGTCAACAAGGATTTGTCAAATTCAAAACAGTAACCATTTAAAATTTTTACTAGCATGTTCAAGACTCTGAGTTTGATTCCTCCATCTGGCAAAATGAGCTTTCTGGTAAAAATGCATCTGCAAACACACTAGGCCTAGAGTGTCATATTTTCCTATTTCCAGAGGATTTGCTTAATGGAGAGTGACAGCAGACAGACCCAAGGTAACGCTAGAACCAAGTGACTAGAACTATGAGCTGTGGAGAGGCAGTGGCTGCCGGAGAACAGAATAAGGCAGATGAGCTACATCAGGAGAAAACACGGGGTTTCTACTTGAAATGTTACAAAAAATGCAAAAGGGGGGGGGGATATGATAGGAGAAATAAGTGGTCGGAAAGGCAGTTGAGTGGAAACATAGGAGGTTTAGAAAGACGGAGAGGGAGAGGAAGAGAGAGTAG